AATACTCCCATGGCGTCCTGGACGAAACACGTGATGGCAGTCAAAGGATTAAAGGCACGGTGCACCGGATGGCACGGGATCGCGAGTTTGCCGACCTAGCCACCGATCAGGAGTCAATAGCGCAGAAGCTATAAATGTCTAAAACCACGACTCTTTCGCCCTAGCGTCCCTATTTCACTCCGTGGCTCCTTCTCCTCCTCGCTCTGTCCTCTCGTAAAATAGACTACCCTATTAACCGCAGCGATATCCAGTGGCCGGAAGCGATGGTGTTTCCGTGGTCGTATCGTTGACTATTACGTTACGGATATTTAAAGGGTTTTATAAACGCGAGGCGCCGCCGCGGCGAAGTATCGATCCATCGATAAAGGGGACCCATCGATAAAGAACTCGTGGATAAAGAAGCCGGTGGCTGTCGCGATAGAAATCCGAGAAAGAGTGGCGTCGTGCCTCAGCCGGGCCATCGAACCGCAGACGATGCGACGGGCCGACGAAATTCCATGGAACCCCGTGGAACGCGAGCGAGGGAAACGTACAAAGCGCGGCCGTCGCGCGGTGAATAAGAATTAAGGACTACTGGTTTAAGGGCGAAAAACGGAGGATCCACGGCGAAGACAAAAATCCGCAGGATAAAGCGGCAAACGGAGAGGGAATCGTGCAGCTCCCGAGTAAGTTGGTACACACACGTACGCAGACGGCCTAATCTTGAATAAGGGCGGAATACGGAGGAAGAACGGACGGCACGGGAAACCGGGTGGAACTGCGAGTCGACCGGCAGCAGACATAGTGAAACACTCGAATGGATCCGACAGAGAGAAGCCTCCGGAGAATAAAGACATATATCGTTTCCGGTAAAAGGATTGTATCTTTCCCAGTCCCTTCTGCGCTCGAATAATACGGCCAAGTAATAATTTCGCCGTCGGTTTTGCGGACACTGTATTCTTTTCGCGAACGTCGCTCCTGCCGGATTGCATATTAAAATTATTATTCGACACGGCCATGTTTATTCGACGAAACAGACGCATCCGGGTCTTCGATTTCTCGCTCGGGAACCACGCTTACGGGAATATGTTTGGGAAATGAAGTTCTTCTCGTTATCCACGATATTCTCGTGGAAATTTCCTACCTATTCCCGTCCGCGATTGAAAGGCGAGGTATTTGGGAATTTTTGCAAACAAGCCCGTCAAGGCGACGCGATTGACCATGATTACCAGCTCCGCGTTGGACGTTTGAAGGGAAACCCGAGGCGATAAAGGCAGTTGAACTTCGGTTTGATCGAGGGACAAAAGCGGCGGTAGGTGTTCCTCAGGCTGCGCATAGCTTGCCAACTGGCTTTGATACATTAGCAAGCGATAATCCTATCAACTCGCAAAGCCAGGATGATACAAACTGGATCCAAGCAGGAAATACGTGGTCTGGCTGCCGTGTGCGAGGTGCATCGTATTTCTTCCGCGGATGTGTTGCAAAATACATATATCAAAGTATCGCATTCGTTTCCTCGGCACGCGTGCTCCAAGGGGCGAACGACGATCTCGCGAATGCTGAGGCGCCTTTTCCTCGCACCTTATCTTTCGAATATGTGTTTTCTCTTTGGTACCGCGAGCGACCGACCAGTCGCTAAGTAAAAAGGAATATTCCGCCAACGAGGAAAGTTTCTTCGAAAGTTTCCTTCCGGTTCTTGTCCCGTCTTCCTAATTTTTCTTTCTCCTCTTCGAACCACGTCCCACCCCGTGCCCTTTATTTCCCGCGTTTATCCCCGCAAAGGAACAAATTCACCGCGAGCTAACGAACTGCCCCGCGCATTTCCCAGCGAGGAGTATACTCTCGTTAGCGACTCTCGTTATTTCTCGTTATTTCTCGTTATTTCTCGTTATTTCTCGTTATTTCTCGTTACTTCCCGTTACTTGTCGCAAAAATCACGGTCGCTCGTCGATACCTCTATTTTCGCTGGTCGGTGATAAACATGGCCTATACGCGTCGACGTCGGAGAGAGTTCCCCTTTTTCGGTTAATACGAAAAATCCACCGGATCTCTGTATGTTTCCGCGTGTATGGATTCGTGGTCCCGCCTCAGGCCGTCCAATGAAATTGCATCTAGAATTTCAATATAGCGCGTATCATACCTCAACCTTAAAACGCCGCCAGCGTTGTCCGGTATTACTTTGAGACTCCTCTCTTTCCTCTATGGTCTGCCCTGTCCCTCTCGGAAGCTGACTTTGCGGACCGATTATAGAGATTCCGATTGAGAGAGGACGTAGGTAAGTGCCACGGGGAGCCACGATAGCCTTGGTCGATCCTTTTGTGGTATAAAATCTAGCCTGCAGGGGACATTAGGTGGGTTTCCGCCGAATAAATGATCAAAAGACAGGGTACGAATAAAGATCGTTCTATCGGTGACGCGGTGTGTGTTTGCACGCTTCGTCTTGTCCCTATGCCATCGGTTTTCCGTGCATCCCCGTAGAATCCGCTTCTCCATTGCGCCACGTGTTGTCTGAATAATTTTCCGAATCATCTTCTTCCGCGACATTATCGTGGACGAGTAACTCCCGCCCAAGGCGTAGCTCTGCGTGCATTCGAGAGGATCCGGAGAAAACGCTCGAATGTTAAAGCAGATACATATTTGCCGAAGGTAATTTGCGTTTGCTCGAGAAGAACGAGAGTTATTTGATATTTTCGCGAGGAACGTCGGGGAAATAATAAGCGTATCGATAATTGACCAGGAACAGGTCAAGCACGCGTACCTTTCCATTCTCGCATATTTTAATTGGAAATATATTTTCTTTTATACAAATCAAGCTCGAGGAAGCATTGCGAGGATATTAAATAGCTAGGAGGAAACGTCTCAAGCGTCTTTAGAATTTTTCCAGTAATTTCTCTGTTATTGTGAGCTACAACGTTGCCTTTCGTTACATCTTTCACGACGAGCCGGTTCGTTTCGTACTTACGAATTGATTGCACGAATTAAGCCGAATTACAGCTGAGTTACTAGCGAAATATTTACGCCCCTGACCGGTAATCCTTTCATTAACCCCGCGTTTATCCGCGATCTTGGTCGAAAAAGGTGAACGCAGCCAACTGGTTTATGGTTAATCGCGGATTACCATAGCCTCCGCCGGGCTTCTCTTTTAAATCATTCAAAGCAGCTGGAAGAGTTCGCGTTGAATAAGAGACGGAGCTGCGAGCGAACTCAACGAGCTTTGCGTGTTAATTAATCAAGACGATGGCAAAGAAACCGTTGACAAAATTCTTTGAGATTAACGCGTTCGGCGAATCGGAAAAATTAAAGGGGGGTTTCGCTAAGAAAACGCGACGTTACGAGATTTAATCAGAGGGGGACAAAAATATGGGGAAAAAAGACAGGAGACGAGAGGAAATAGATACAAATGGAAAGGGTCGCCTTTAACGAGAGACGAATCCAATTACAAAATATTATCCGTCACGACTAATTACGAGTGACTGGCATTCGATAATCTGCCTTCTCGTAGCCGGTGTAACACGGCGCCGTTATGAAACGTATTTAGCACGACGCGCATTAACGTGATTACCTTAATTCCTTGTTAATTAACGCTGCAACCTTTCCCCGGCGTGGGGCGTATTCTTTGCTGGTGTTGGGAAAGTAGAATACCGACGAAGAAAATTAAAATCGTAGCTGCTGCCGGTGTGTCGCGTATTGATTATGTGACATCGTAATTACGTAATTATATAACATCAACGCTATATCAATGGGTATTATTCAGCGACGTATAATAGGTTTTGGGTGTTAAGCCCACGTGACAAATTTATGACGCGAATTAACAGGGTACAGCTCTTGCGATGCAGCGAAATCCCCGTCATAGATACACGTAATTAAACTATCTAAATTGAAACATGACCGATAAAAAAGGGAAACCTATTTTTCCGTCTTCAAGGTTCCAAACGATTTGTCGTGATTTCGCTTTCGCTGTGTTCCAGGTAACGTTTAGGTTTGGTTCGTTTTGGCTTCGGGTAGGATTTATGTTTAGGCTAGGTTTGGGGTAGGTTTGAGTCAGCTTTGGTTGGTTTCGGTCAGGTTGCAGTCAAAGTTGCTCGCGACGAGAAGACGGTACGTTTATTCGCGGAACGAAAGCCGGAACGAGTTAGACTAAATATACCTAGTCGGGTAGGAGACATGGTAGTCGTCGCGATGCTTCGTTCGCCATGCTCCGAGGCAATTCCATAAGTCGATTGGAAGATGGGAAACAGGATATAGGGGAAAGTTTGTACGACGAAAGTTCGGGGAGTTTGGGTGATTAATCGATAATGGCGTCCAAGTGACAGTTACGTTATGCGTTCCCGTGGCCCAGGCTCTCTGCTGCATGATTCTGCGATATCATCGCGAATAGCTTTCATTTTATTCCGCCGTCGCCGCCATTGCGCCACGCAAAGGACAATCTCTCAGGAGCTGAAGGTGCATTTTTGGAACTGGGGTATCCAGATTATCCGAAATTTCGCGATTTCATCCCCAACGATGCTCCGACGCGGAGCAAACGTTCGTCGATTTCATATATTAGTCCTCGCAGGATTGCTTTCCCAACCTTAGTAGGTTACCTCAGTAAGTTACGTTTATTCTTCTTTAGTGCTGCAACTCGGAAATGAGGAACCAGATATCTTAGAAATTTAATGAAACGGAGAGAGCATGGAGGTAATAATTTAATATAAATACGGTATTTAGAGTCGTATTCCGTTTCAAGTCTCCGCACCGGTTCTCCTTATTAAACCTGAAAGTATCCTTAATTCGTCGTCCATAATTAAATAACAGAAGCTTGATTTTAAATTCAGAGATCTCTATTCCGCGTTTATAATTCCCGGATACGCCCTTTTTCGCGATAAAAGAGTAACAAAGTCTTTTTCCCAAACGTCCTGCGCAGACCTTTTCAAAGACAAGGTTCTTTTAGACAGAAATCGAAATAACCCACGCGAGTGGAAAGAAGCAAACGGCACGATATATGGAACGGGTGTATACAACGGGATGACGTTTGATTTCAGTGTGCCACTTGCTGCGAAACGGGGTGGCAGCGATTTTTGGGCCTCAAAGCGCGCACACGGCTTCTCACGTGCAGAGCATTTGCGACACCATGGAGATTCCGCATCTGGAAACACGCTGGGACTACCGGCTGAGGAGGCAGAGCTGTCTCGTCAACCTTTATCCGCACCCCACCACCTTGTCCAAGGTACGTACAAACTCTCGGAATAATATCCTCATCAAGGCGCGAGCGAGAACCGTCGAAAATCTCCACTCCGAGTTTCCCTTTTCTCCGGCTCGTCGACTAATCGCTTCCTTCGCTCTAGAAAATAGACTCGCTCGAATTTCACTCGAGTTCCGGGCTGTGTCAATTGCCACTCTCCCGTGCAATCCCCGCGGCTTCCTGATAAATCCACGCTGATCGATCTGGCTGATCGATTGGATCCCCTACTTTTTGGCTGCTGCCTTGGCTTCTTCGGAGAAGCTACTCGACGGGGGTTCTACGTTCTCGGGATTAAATTCTCCGGTACCGACAATGAGTCAGCAACCTCGAAATTCATCGTTCATCACAGTTGGGTGGTCGGGTCCAAATTTCCGCGAGTTGACTCACCAGACTTGCGCGATAATGTTCCCATGCACTCGACAGTCATACCTACGCAAAAGATACTGTCACAGACGGTGACCTTATACCCCAATTACGCCACTCTCACCATTCCCACGATATCGCGATTAATATCGAATTTCATTCTTCTACGAGGAACTGGAGGATGAGGAATAGGGGGTATTTGGAAGGAAAAATCGGAAAGAATAGGTGCTGGAGAGGGAACGAAGATGGAACAGGCTCCTCGGTGGAAAAACGGATGTTCGTTTCGTAGCTGAGTCGTCTCTCTCGCGTTCGTGGAAGTTGGAACAAAAGATGGAGAAGTTGCCGAATTTTTCTTAATAAACGGAAAGTTACCCGTGGAAAGTGGCTGAAAGCGACGCCGTGCTCTCGACTTAACGAGACTTTCACCACGTCCGACGTTGAATAAAACGTTGCAAACCCGTCGCCCAATATCTCCCGCTCGCGAATATTTCTTCGTCGTGATATTTTCCTCGTCAATGTCCTCGCTGTTCCGCTGGCGTTTGCCGTGATATTTTTCTCGGGAACGTGTCTCGCGAAACACCTATTCCGAGGAATATTCTCACCCCCGTTCGCGCACGTTCCCTCGACTCGAATCTGCGAGACTCGCGAACCAAGACCGATCGACGCGTCTCCGCGCGGAGAAAGACGTAGGAGGCTGTTAAGGATATTAAGCGAAAGTTGCAGCGCGGATGGAAACGTTGAAGGAAACGAGCTTCCCCGAAAATCAGCGACGTGTGCGGTGCTAAGACTTCGCAAACCGCCCGGTTTACGAACGAGACGTGACCTCGTGCCTGGTTTCCACGCCAACCAAGTTTCCCGCGTAATTAAAGCGTTCGTATCGGAAAGTTCGAATCCTAATTAAAATTCGAACATCCCCGAGCGAGCTTCTTCTCCCGTCTTTCCACGGTGATCGACGTGTCGTAAACCCTTGTTAGCTTAGGTCTACGAAAAAGGTGCGGGGCTTTCGAACGGATTGGTCGACGGGGCACTTTTACGTGGTGCAATTACGCGATCCGGGGTTGGGATTTTTAGTTTCAGCCTCGTGCTTCGAGACACGCGGTGAAATGTTCGCCAAGTTACCCGAAGAACTCTCGCGAACTTGCGGATAGTCGCGTTGCCCGTTTCTACGGTTCCGCGCGGAGTTACATTTCCACGGAAAAATCTGAACGCGAGGCATGCAGATGAAACGAAACAAGAATTCCTTTAACTCGGAGAAAACACGCTTCAGCCTTCGCGATGGCCCACGGCGATGCTATCCGAGTTAAGCTTCGGAGCTTAAGATTTCTCCCGGCCTGTCTCCGTTCGTGCAGCGCGCACAGGGTTGATCTCGGTATCGACCTGTGCGAATGCGTACTCTGGGATCATTGCCACGCGAATTTGTCGGCTTCGCCCTTTCGATATTTCCGCCCCGGCTCGACCTCTTTGCCACCCAGCGATATTTCAATCGCCTCTCGGGCTATTGTTTCAAGTTCGAAAAGTCGACGAGGATCCGACGCGCAAGTGGAACGCAAACGGAATTAATATGACGGCCTGAATACGATTTTTAATGCAAACGGCAGGATGGTCCGGTCGGCTCTTCCATTTTATTTCTATCCTTCCTTTTTTATTTCACGGTTTCGTATTTCTTTTTTCCCTTCCCCCAGCCGAATGGAAGCCAAAAGTGCAACCGATCGCGTGCAAATAAATCTGCTGGACGAAACATCGGATCGCCGACGGGGAAAACTGAACATTGACATTGCTTTACCGTGGACGGTGAAACCGAAACAGGATGTTTTAAATTTGAAACATGGCCGGGAAACAGCGCTCGTCGGGCCAGGAGAGGACGGTAACGAGGACTTTATGCTTATCGGTGGAACACGCCGCTGTGGTGACTGCGAACGTTGAAAATTAACACGGTATTTCGATAAAGTATACGCAACCGGGGATAAAAAATATTTATTTTCCTTTGCAACATTTATCGAGCCATTTATCATCGCGTGTAACGTTCCGATCGCTTCGCTCGCCCGGATTCCGTGTTCACAGTCATCGTGAAATTGTTTTTTCTGCACCGGCAGACATAGTTTGCTTTTTGGCGCGTCAAAACGTGTAGCGAATGTTCCTCCCGCGTTTCGTACGTAAGACGAATTAATTCAATCCAAGGACCAACATCTTTTGGATTAACGTTGGAATATTTTCAAAGCAAGGATTAATTCTGCTGAAGCAGAATAAATCGCTATTACCGGTGATATTGGATCGGATTTTCTTTTTTCATTATCGAGAAATTCTAGGATAAATAGTACTCCAACTGATTCTAATTTCTTTTTCTCTTATAATAATTATTTGGAGGGGTCCATCCTCGTGGTTGCTAGTCAGCTAGTCACAGGTATCCTGGCGGTGGTGCTAGAAGGGACGAAGGGAAAAGGAAGGGTTGCGTTTCGTCCTGGGCCTGCCAGTGGGGTCAACCGTAAAGCTACCTAGCAGGCCCCTGCTTTAGACGAGGATACTATTAGAAAGTTTGGAAATTCTATATATAGCAATCGTAGGATTTTTACCGAGGACTTATTCCTTCAAGTGGGAATCCATTTATCAGCGAGGGTGAGAATGATGCCGCACAATTATAACTTTCACAAAACTGCATGTACACGTACGTGTGTCAGTGACCCCGAAGAGGTTAAAGTCGCTATCGCGATTGGATCGACGAATTTTTATTAGCATCACATCGGTCTATTTTGATATCGCTTTATTGGAATTTAGAATACAGACACTTCGGTGTAAAATTCGATAAAGTACCTACGCCGGGAAAAACGGTCACGAAGGGCAAAAAGTGTCGAAGCAGGAACGAATAATGCAGTGAGGGTAGCGTGCTGTTCGCAGCACGATCGATGGAATACTCTTTTAAAAATAACGGTACCAGTCTAGGGTAATTTGAAATAAACTCTTTAAAAGAAGAGCACTCGCACGAAATTCCAAGAATGAAAAAGCTCTCCGGAGAGAGAAAGAGAGACAGCGGGGTGCACGGTATTGTTCCATGGTCAATCAGGTTGCTCTAGCGAAGCTCGGTCTCGGTTACAAAGCGTTCGGGGAAAGAGAAAAATTTCTAATCTGCCCGCTCTCTGGCCGCTTCCCACAGAGCAGCGTGAACCAATAAATGATGATTTCCGGTTGCGTGGTCCGACTTTGAAGAACGTCGATCAAAGAGATCGGAGCGGTGTCACGGCACAAAGAGCGCACGAATTACTGCGTCAGAGTAAGAATTTCAATTATAGTCTAAACGCATCGTGCGACGAAATTGAATTCTAGCCGTGCGTTAGACATCACCAGCCTCCATATCACGGCAACGACACTGCGAATTCCTCGAATCGCTTCGTGGAAACGCTTCGCGCTTAACCAACAATTTGAAGAGCTATTTTTATTCTACCATAGCACCTCGTTTTCGCAAAGTTCCGACGGAAAAATATTTGCAAAGCTGCGTGCTCTGCTGGAGGAACTCGTTACGATGGTACCCTCTCAACGACTTTCATCGAAAACGCGTGCAGCATTATCGACGGCCATTTTGGATTCCCTGTCTGAGCGTCATGGACGCGCAGAGCACTCGTTCGAATATCTCCTGCACGTTTCGTGCTTTTGGGAAACAGAAGTGTGTAGAGACTACGATCGTCATACGTTTCACGGATAATTAAATTTAATTAGATTCCAATAAATTCTCCTATCGTCGTATCGCGTTACTTTCTTCGACTATCCTGCGGAAAAAGAACGACGAAGGGGGAGAATCCCGTTGGAAAATCGAGAGAAGTACCGAGACCGTAACAGAGATGAAGATAGTACTTGGATTCTGGTTCGTGTTCGTAATAATTGATGAATCCTAAGCGAATCTTTGGAAAATTGTCCGCGGGGAGAAGACCAGCTCGAGCATTTCCGCCTTGCGATTAACTCGTCGTGCTTTTGCGCATCGAGACCGGTCCGTGTTTATATAAAAGGAAAATCAAACGAAATTCTCTGGCATAGAAAGAACTCCGGTAAAGAGGTTCTCGCCATTCGCATGTAAATTTACTCGTTGCGAGTAAATCTGCGGGCAGAATCTAAAACCTTCTTACCTCCGGCAGTCTCGCAACGCGTCCCTCGCTCGTCCAATCGGGGATTAAAATTTCTCCTTAAAAGCCTCGGAAACATAACGTCGATTTCCTTCGCAACGATGCAGATGGACTTAACTCGCTCGGAACTGGTTCGTCGAGTATTTATGAAAACTGTGTATCTCCGAGGAAACGCGGTCCTCGGAACTCTCCGTTGGAAACCCGGTTTCTCGACGACCCGAGGAAGGAACAGCTGGCTCACGGTGAGCAGGTTTACCTCGCGAAAGGAAAGGAAAGGAAAAAGGGGGAAAAAGGGGAGGAAAAGGAAAGTAAGACAGAAAAACGAAGGAGAAACGAATCAGAGAGTTTATTTGTAGCCGGTCCTCGGCAGATTTTTCGCGTTTTGGTCGACGGCTCGTAAGTTTGCCGCGGTGTAGAGAGAAGTGGCTCGTAGGACGCCGAGTCTTTTCAAGCGCCGCGCCGAGGTGATTCCTTTGACTGTGTTTTCTCAGTCGATGCTTTCTTCCGGCTCCG